TCCCTCTACGTCCTTCTCGTCCCTCTTGGATCTGAACCACCCATCCATCCATCCTCCCTCCCTCCTCTCTCTCCTTCCACACCACACTCTCCACCACCACCTCCTGACCGGCGTGCCTTTCTCAGCATCGTCACCTTTCGCTCGTTTCATATACCCGCCCGTGGACTTTAGCCTCTTTTCTCGCCCAGCCACTGTCTCTCCTTCTCTTTGGCTGTATCCGGCAGACACACACACACTCTCTCTCTCACTCAACACACAAACACGCGCCTTAACAACTCCATCATCGCCTCACCAAACATAGGTTCTCGGTCTTGTCCCGTCGATCCAGCTCTCTCGACGGCGAGCACGAGGCCTCTCTCAGGCTCGCAACAGCAACACGACAAGGGCCCTGCAAAGGCACTCCGCTGCCCGCCCGATTTTCCCTTCTTTCCAGGTTGATCCTCGGCCGCCTTACTTTTCTCTCTCTCGTCCTTTTCTGTAGAGCTGTGCTTGCTTCTCGGTTACCTCTTACAACCTTCTTTCCAATCATCTCTCGTACTCTACAACCTGGTTTCCTTTGGTCTCACGACTCGCCCATATACCCACCCACCGACGCGACGACGACGACTTCGATAGCACTCACCCAGCTTCGACACCAGAGGACCCGACGACAACACACGGCTTCCATCTCTCACTCAATTCTGTATCAAAGCGTATCAAATTCGTGGACAGGGACGGCAAAGACTCATTGTTGGGAGTAACTTGGGAAAGAAAGAAGCTTGTAAAGGCTCAGAACGCATAGACTCTTTTTTTTGGATATACCCATCTGCGGCTTGGGGAAGAATCATCGATTCCCGAAACAGAAACAAACGACGACGAACCACGATCGTTTACCGAAAACCCCTTTTTATTTACTTCAAATCACAAAATGACGCGATCCGCGCCGAGTTGGGGCCCGAGGAGGCTGTTGGCCGTGGCCGCCACCTTCGCCACCAGCACCCTCGCCGACTCGATCCTCAAGACCAGCAGCTTCACCACCTGCGGCAACGACTCCGCCATCACCGTACAGAAGATTGACATTCAGTACAACAACGACGACAAGACCGTCACTTTCGACGTAGCAGGAACGAGCGCCAAGAGCCAGAACGTAACCGCTGTGTTGGATGTTACCGCCTACGGAACCGCCATCTACTCCAACAGCTTCAACCCGTGCGATGCCGGCACCTACGTCGAGCAGCTTTGCCCTGGTATGTACTGGCTTTTGGGCGAGACTCAAGACGCGTAAACTGACATGACACAGTTCCCGCCGGATCCTTCTCTGCCCGTGGAACCCAGAAGATCCCCGATGAGTACGCCAGCATGGTCCCGGCCATCGCCTTCCAGGTTCCCGACATTGCTGCCCAGGCCAAGCTGCAGCTCAACACGCTCGACTCCTCAACTCAGGTTGCCTGCATCACGTCCCAGGTCACCAACGGCAAGACCGCCAGCGTTGCCGCCGTCTCCTACGTCGCCGCCGGCGTTGCCGCCCTCGCCCTCGTTGCCGGCGGCGTCTCTGCCGTCAGCGGAGCCTTTGCCGGAACGAGCGCCGCCCTCAGCGGCCACGGCGGCGCCGGCACGATGAGCCCCAGTTTCACCGAGGTTGCTGGCTGGTTCCAGGGCATGGCCATGAACGGCATGCTCTCCGTCAACTACCCTCCCGTCTACCGCAGCTTCACCAAGAACTTTGGCTTCTCCACCGGCATCATCCCCTGGACCGACATGCAGATCGCGATTGACAACTTCCGCGGAGCCACCGGTGGTGACCTCACCAAGGACAGCATCGAGGTCCTCAAGAACAGCACCCTCGTCCTCAGCGACGGCTCCACCATTGACGGCAACAGCACCCTCTTCAAGGCCAAGCGCGCCATGGAGACCTTTGCCCTCCTCGCCAGAGACATCGAGACGAGCGTCAACGGGACGACCAGCGGCGACGCCGGCGACGACCCCGTCAGCACCATCAAGCAGAAGGTCCAGGGCATCACTGCCTTTGTCAACACCCTTAGCGTCCCTAAGTCTAACACCTTCATGACCGTCCTCCTCATCGTCGCCATCATCATCGCGGCCATCATCGTCGGCATTCTCCTCGTCAAGGTCATCCTCGAGTTCTGGGCCCTCTTCGGCAGCTTCCCCAAGGGTCTGGCCGGCTTCCGCGAGCACTACTGGGGATCCATCGCCCGCACCATCACCCAGCTCATCCTCCTGCTATACGGCATCTGGGTCCTGTACTGCATCTTCCAGTTCACCAACGGCGACTCGTGGGCGGCCAAGGCGTTGGCCGGTGTCAGTCTGGGCATCTTCACGGCCATCCTCGCCTTCTTCTCCTACAAGATCTGGAGCACTGCTCGCAAGCTGAAGAACGCCGAGGGTGACGTCAGCGGCCTGTACAACGACAAGTCCAACTGGATGAAGTACTCCCTCTTCTACGAGTCCTACAAGAAGAGCTACTGGTGGATCTTTGTCCCCGTCATCATCTACGCGTTCGCCAAGGGCACCATCCTCGCCGCTGGCGACGGCCACGGCATGGCGCAGACCTCTGCCCAGCTCATCGTCGAGGGCCTGATGCTCATCCTGCTCCTCTGGGCCCGCCCCTTTGAGCGCAAGTCGGGCAACGTCATCAACATCGCCATCCAGGTCGTCCGTGTCCTGTCCGTCGCCTGCATCCTCGTCTTCGTCGAGGAGTTTGGCATCGCCCAGACCACCCAGACCGTCACCGGTGTCGTTCTCATCGCCGTCCAGTCCGCCCTCACCGGCGTCCTGGCTCTGCTCATCATCTGGAACGCCGTCAACGCCTGCATCAAGGAGAACCCCCACCGCAAGCGCAGAAAGGAGATGGGTAAGTCTGACCACGCACATCATTATCAAAAGCACATTGCTAACCCCCCTACAGAGAAGATGCAGCGTGACATGGACACCCTCACGCCGCTCGACGCCCGCAACTCCCTCCTCATGGACCGCAAGGACCCCGAGCACGGCACCACCTTCTCCATGAGCAGCGTCCCCGAGAAGAAGGGCGGCCGCCCCGAGTCCCCCGACGCCTACCTCGGCGCTGCCGGCCACGCCCCGTACCACTCCCTGACGCCCAACACGCCTTACAACAACCCTAACGAGAGCAGGGACAACCTTGTTCTCGGCGCGGCACCCATCGCTGACAGGAACCCCACGCTGCCCAACGTCGGCGGCGGGCCCGGCTACCAAGGCGGATACGGAGGAGGCGGTGGCTACCGCGGAGTGTATCACTAAACGGTGTGCTGAACGGGAAAGAAAGGGGGACCGCTGCCGCCAGCTGGCGCGTTGCCGGCCCTTTTGAATGAACAATGAACATAGAAAACCCTACCCCAAAGTGTGGAATGTATGAACCCAATGGATATGTATCCGATACCAAGGCCATATCCAGAAAGAGCCACTTTATATCTCTTTTTCCTTATTTTTTATTTATATTATCAACCAAATTTCCTTGCCTAGTCTCTCATTTCTCCATACCAACATACCTCTGCGCATGGTCATGATGTCGACGGCTGTAGTGTTTTTTTAAACTCTCCTATGTATCTTTCTTTCGAACAGGGGAGGGTGGGAAGGACAGTGCAGTCGCTCTCCATGTACACTACAAGAAGAGTCTACCATAACCAAAATGGACAATTCTGTTTAGTACTTTTGACCGCAAGGTTTTTCTAGGGGTTTATTGCCATGGCAGCGAAAAATGGGAGGAGGGTGTTTTAGATACCTTTTTTTTTTTTTTTTTTTTCCTCCTCCCCGCCAAACCTACCCCCGCCGCTTTTCTTTCTCGCGGTGGGCTTCGATCAGTATATATACATTAGCTACAATGGATGGACCGCCCAAAATTAATACTGAACACGGCCTTGTTCTGCAACGGTGATGATCGTCGCGGTAGGTACCTGAGAGATCGTCGGCCAAGGGGGGAGGGAGGGGACGGACCCGCGCGCGCATGTCTTGGCCCTTTTCTTGCCGGCTTGGCTAGGCATGGTGGCCCATCATGACTTGCGTTGACGCGTCTCTCGGGGGTTGGGGGATCAACAGGCGGGCGAGATTTGAGATTTGCTTTGCAGGTGAGCCTGGCGAAGATGCCTGTGTTCATCGTTGGGTCTGGCCCACACGCCTGCCGAGCATGAGAGCTTAGCTGGAGGAGATGGCTTGATGTGTTTGATTGCGATGGGGTTGTTGGATGTCGAGTCGATGGACTTGCGCTGTATGGAGGAGAGGCTTCTCTGGACATGGTTGCGTGCTGCGTTGTTTAGGTCGTTAAGCACAGAGCAGACTTGTCCTGGCCTCCTTATCTACCTAGGTGGTCATTAGTAGCAGCAGTCTCTTTGTCGTTGTTGTTTCGCCCTGAGCCTCATGTCCCACGTTGCACACTATGTTCGTATCGGACGCAAGCTGAACAGGCGTCACATTGCAGATCATTTCAGAAACCTCGTGATGGAGGCAAAAATGCTCTCGCCATGAACATTTGAACTCTACAGAGACAGCTTTCCAAGACGTGTTGTTTCGACATTGAGGGGCGATTTCTATGTCTAGGTCCCTGGTTGACGCCGGGGCTCCGTTCCGGGGGCTTGCTCTTTTCGAATGTCCAGGTGCACAGTAAATAACGGAGATTTCCATGGACGTCTTCGCACAGTGACGTGCCGCCAGTTGCAGTGGCTGCGTACAGTGCCAACGGCGTCGCTGCCCCTCATCACCCCACTGAACGTCATCCACACACCAAACGGCGCTCCGATCTTGGCCTCGCATCGCGGTCAACTCAACCCATCACCTGCCAACTCCTCGCCGGCACCGGTTCTGCTCTGCGATATCCTCCGTCGTCTGCCGAGCTCAGGCTCACACGACTCCAAGACAACAGAATTCCTTTGACGGTGCAGGCCCGCCCCGGTCACTTGCTCAGACTCTCCAACCACACGGCGACAAAACAAGCACCTCGGCCGCCTTATCGCATGGACTAAGCGCTCCTTGGCAGCTTAACCCCCAACATGAGTGAGTTACAAAAGGCCTGGGCGAAGAGGAAACTCGACCCCATGCACCCCCTGCCGGAGCCTCTCAACGACCTCGACGAGGAACCAGAGCACGACCAGGTCCCAGAGCTGCCGGACCACCCAGACGACGGCGACTCCTCCTCGGCCTCGTCCGCCTCGTCCGCCTCCTCAACAGGCACCGTCATCCCGTCGCCCAGCCAGAACCTGTTCGCTCGGCCGCAAGGGTAAGGATTTTTTTGTTTCCAGTCATCTCCGAGGGGCGCCGCTGCTGCTGCTGCGAGGGAGAGGTTCGGCACCGCTGATTCGGCTTCTAGTGTGTCGCGGGGCCGCACGCTGGAGCAGATCCCCTGGACGACGTACTTTGAGCGCGAGCTCTTCCTGAAGCAGCCCGGGGACGGCGAGGCCCAGGCCGAGGCCACCGTCACGTACCATACCTACCTCAACTCGCCCGTGGACAAGGGGCCGCTATTCGTCATGCACCACGGCGCCGGCTCCTCGGGCCTCTCCTTCGCCGCCCTCTCGTCCGAAATCCGGAAACGCCTCCCCAATGCCGGCATCCTCTCCCCCGACGCCCGGGGCCACGGTTCCACCTCCGTCACCGACGGCACCGGCCTGGACCTCAAGCTCGACATCCTGACCGCGGACTTGTTCAACGTCATCCAGCTGACCAAGGCCCGCATGGGCTGGAAGGAGCTCCCGCCCGTCGTGCTGATCGGGCACTCCCTCGGCGGCGCCGTCGTCACGGACCTCGCCAAGACGGGCCGCCTCGGCGCCGCGCTGCTGGGCTACGGCGTGCTCGACGTCGTCGAGGGCTCCGCCATGGACGCCCTGCAGAGCATGCTGACGTACCTCTCGACGCGGCCGGGCGGCTTCGTGAGCCTGCAGTCGGGCATCGACTGGCACATCCGCTCGCGCACGATCCGCAACTCCGTCTCGGCGCGCACGTCGGTGCCGGCGCTGCTGGTATTCGACGACCGCGCCGATCCGACGCGGCCGTGGCGGTGGCGGACGGACCTCGCGGCGACGCAGCCGTTCTGGGAGGGCTGGTTCGTGGGTCTGAGCAAGAAGTTCCTCGAAGCACGCGGCGGGAAGCTGTTGTTGTTGGCGGGGACGGATAGGCTGGACACGGAGCTGACCATCGGCCAGATGCAGGGTGCGTTCGTCCCGTTGACTCGTTGCTATCGGCTAAGCTGACATGGACCAGGTAAATACGCTCTGCAGGTCTTCCCTGAAGCGGGCCACTTCATCCATGAGGACCTGCCGGAGAAGACGGCGCTGGCGGTGGTGGACTTTTACAGGCGCAACGACAGGAGCGCGCTGGTGCTGCCGCCAAAGGTGGGCGACCTGTTGAAGCAGGGCAAGAGGGTCTAGATGAGACTCTGGGAACGCACGCACGCACGCATTTTAGACTTTTCGGTTCTGTACATTCAGAGTTATACCCCTGAATCTGGCTGCGGCGTAGACGACGGTTGAGCTAGGTGAAGAACACGCAGGCCGTGTGACCCGGTGTGATGGCGCGTCAGCAGCTGATGGGCATGGGGCAACGCCGGGACACTGGGGTCTCTTGGGGGACGAAAGTTGATCTTTAGGGGACGATAAAAGCTGTGGTGTAGGCGGCCTTGTGAGCTGTCTCTGGACCTCTGGACCTCTGTACCGGCCTGCAAGACGCGGGCGAGAAGACATTACCAGAGGATGATGAAGCATCAAACCGCGGAAGAACCCAAGAACTAGACTCGCCGTGCCACGATGCCTCTGGTGGTCGTCTGGCACTGCTGGAAAAGCCTACGTGGCCCAGGATGAGCCAGCATATGTAAATGAGCTAGACGAGCAAAATTGACGTACATTCGCCAAACCTGAAGAAGCAAATTACAAACGCCCTTGATATCGCTGGCGAGTGGCTTTGCATGTTCTCAAGACCTGGAAAAATCATGGCAACGGGCAGCATGAGACAGTGCCGTGTTGTTATCTACATCAAATTTGCGGTCTCCCCAAGATGTGTTCTGTAATCTCCATGGTGTCAAGCATGCGCAGTTAAATCTCCCTTGACCAGTACGCCGTCACCTGGTGAGCCATTGGTGCGCGTACACAGAGAGCATGCCTACATCATGTCGATGGACCAGCTGTTTGAGAAAATCATGCCTTATGCCCCCGAATGAAGGTCAGCGAGTTTGGAAAGCCGGACCTCACAGGCACACTGCTCGTCGTGGAACGCATCATCTCCTGCTTGGGTATCATATTTATTGTCTATTTGTGGCTGACTACGTTGGAAATGATCAATCTCCAGCACGATAGAACCACCTTCGAGAGCAGTCTCTCATTCATGTTCACTTCTTCGGGAGCTTGTACTTTCCGCCCGCCAGCTCCAGCTCCCCCTCGGCAATCTTCTCGCCGAGGAACTCCTGCAGCTCCTCGTTGCTCCAGGGAAACCCGTCCGCGATGAGCATCTTCATCATCATGGCAATCTGGAAAAGCGGCATCGCCGGGCTCGAGTTGGTGAGCATGCCGATGATGAACTGCCAGTAGACCTGCCGCTTCTCCTTCTCCTTTGCGTCGAGCGCCGGCTTCTTGGGTGAAAAGTCGCCAGACGGAGGGGCGCGCGCGTCGCCGTCGGAAGGCCCGGCGGCGGACGCGTCCTTGTCGACATCGTCTTCGAGCCTCTCAAGGACGACAAACGTGCCGGGTTCGGTTTCACGCAGGACGCGGTGGCTCACCCAAAAGTGTATAGCAGAGCGGATGAGATCGTCATCCATCTGCAGCATCTCCTCCAGCTGTTCAACCGTACGCCGCACAGGGACAGCTTCCGGGTCGGCGTCGTCCTCTTGAAAGGCGTAGATGACGACGGCTTCGTACGTCTTGCACTCCTGCTCGACCGTGCGGTCCTCCAGCTCCAGATTGACCGTTGCGATGCCGAGATTGTTGAGCCACGTGAGCTTGCGTGAAGACTTGAGACGTTCAAACTCCTCATCGTAGCGGCCCTGCATTTCGACGACGGGGCGTGGCAGGATAAAGTGCTCCCTGTCCATGCCGGGCCAAAAGAGCCGAGAAAGAATCTTGGTGTGGTAGGACGGAAGGTCCTTGGATCGGCGAGGAGGACCACCGATGTGGCCCGTCCTGACGTTCTTGGTGATGGTCGCATCGACTCTCCTAGAGTCTTGGATATCTCTGATCATGACGTCGCAGTTCTGCAAAGCGTTCTCGCCGAAGCGCTTCTTGAGCAGGTTAAGCACTCTGATCTCTTGGGGGAAGTCTGTTTGAGTAGACAGCAGTCTGCCCGCAATAATATTTTGGAACTCCTTGATGAAGATGTCCTGCGAGCCCAAGGCGTTGATGAGAGTGCCAATGACGTCTTCGGACTTGGGGCGCTTGTAGTTCACGCCCGCGTCGACCGGATCGGGGATCCACTCCATGTCGTCCCAGTCCAGCTCCTCGTCATCCGTCGCCGGACGCCGCTGCTGTGAGGGGTCGTTGAGGAGAACCGCGAGCTCCACGAGTTTGGTTTTGCCGGCCGTGTCGACATCTTCCGGACTGGACAGCAGGCCGGTGACGACGATGGGGATGGCGTCATCTCTCTGGCACAAGTAGAGCTGCAGGGAATGGACCACTCGGTCCAGGAGTACTTTGGAGTGGTCGAGAGCGTGAAAGGTCCGAATCATGGAGATGTACACGCGAAGTATATCGAGCGTCGACCGTCCCGGGTGAAGCAAACGCTTCTGTAACGCTGCCGAAAACGTATCCGTCAACTGCAGCCGTCTCTGCGGCGTGGTGATGGCCATGCGCAGGTCGTCCAGCGCCCCCCTACTCTCTGGCCATTGCAACACAATGTCGAAAAGCTCGTGGATGCGCATGACTGCTAATCTCCCGACTGCAATCTCCTTCCACTTTTCGACATCGCCCCAGGCAATCTCCCCGCTATCAAGGCGCGCAAACACCTCGACCGCCAACCGGGAGTAGCGGTTTTCCACCCAATCACTGAGTGCAGCAATGCAGCGTGAAGGTGTGCTGTGCTTCGCTGCGCGAGCGGTCAGCGAAGACCGTGGCGCATCCTTCCTGCCGTCTGCCTTTGATTGCGCCCAAGCCCCGGCGAAGGATGTCTTGATGTGCTCGGCCATTGTTGCATCCATCAACTCGGCAAACAGCACTTGGAACCGCTCGCCCGCAAGGCCGACCTTGTGTAGTGTCTCGACCATCTGCAGCAGCTCTTGCCGCGCTGCTTCCGCCGCCGCTGCTGCCTGGCCATCCCCTTGCAGGGCTGTCTCCCAAGATCTCCCAGACGAAGGCCAGGCCTGCATGCCCAGAACCTCCCTCATCAAGCGACCCAGGACCGCACGGAGAGATTCCATAAGCGCCTGTGATATGGAGTTGCCGATGACTGCGTGCAAATCGCGCCGGAACTTGTCGACCGCGATGTCCGCCTTCCTGGACTCGAGACCCCGCACGACAAGAGACAGGCCGTAGAGATACTGGCGGTGGGCTGCTTCTAGCGTATGGATGCTCCCCAGAAGAACCTGGCCCTGGTCTCCGTAGCTGTTGCATGCAGACAGCAGGGGCAGGACGTGATGGGCGAAGTGGTGGCGAACCTGCTGGGTGTGCCAGGAGAGAATGTCCTCCGTGTGAGTGGCATGCTGGACGTGTCTCTCGGGATGCAGTACCAGGCTCAGACTGTCATGGAACTCGGCATCATGGTCCTGCGATTCCGTCGCCAGGGTCCCGAAGGAGTCTTCCGCGGCAACCGAGGCAGGTAACTGGATACAGGTCGTGACGACATGCCACGCTCGATCCCAGCGAACTTGGTCGCTGGCTTCAGTGGACTGGATGCCTGGGAGCGTCGACGGAGGGGATCCTGGGTGGTTCAAGGCCTTGCTGCCGCCGCGAAAGTGCGAGCGGGAGGGAGACTGGTGGTGTGGTGGCTGTGGTGACTGCGGTGTGCCACCGAATGGCTCGCTTTGCGCGGTGAACCTCTTTGAGGGTGTCGAATAAGGCGTAGGCTGCGAGATTTCCGTGTCAAAGACAGACTTGAACACCTTCTGCCTCTTGTTGGACCACCTCGAGGGCGGGTTCATCGTCAGGGCCATGGCTGCAGGCATGCACAAACGGCGTTCTCAAGCAGAAGGATTCGAGGCCCGCCTCATTGCAGATGTTGGGTTGTTGGCGACGTGGGCTGTCACTGGAGAAGTAGCAGTACTCTGTCGCTCTCGTGTTGCTCGATATCAAGTTATTGTCGCGATGTCGTCGCCGCCGTGAAGCGTCGTCGGTTTTGTTTACTCTCTCTGGTCGTGATGCCGACTAAGCGCTGCGCTTAGGTGCGTGTCCAAACATTGAATTTGGGGTGGTGAGGGTCCAGCCTATCGCAGAGCCGCGCTTAATCCGCCTGCAGTTAGCGCTAGCGAAGAGAAAGCGAGACAGGCGCAGATTGTGCTTGGCATGTGCGGATGCTGTTGAAGCACTGTTTGCGCACAGTATACTTCTGACCCCCATCTAGTGGCCACTGCATCGACGCCCTCCTTGTCGACTCCTCTTCTACAATCACGCCCTCCCCAAATTGCCTCTGTCTTCACAACGCTTCCCCGGCCATGTTATCTAAGCCATATGGATCTTGATCGTGCCTTTGAACGACCGTCCGGGTGCCAGTTTCTGGGCCCACGCGGGACCGCAAGTCATTGAACCCTCCGATGTGCCGTACGGTCTGCAGATTTCCTGCGATGGGAGACGTCGACCGAGCCGCCGCCTCCCTCATCCATCAATGCGAAGCGGTCTCCGCCTAACGCGCGCCCGCAGCCAATGCTCCTGCCGACTTGTCAAGCCAGAAAGGGTGCAGTGCTCGACTAGCACCGCCGTTTAGACGGTGAGTGTGGGGTAGCGACGCGAAGGATCAAGACAAGCGACCTCGAACCTGGCTTCACTTGCATGCCGCTACGTACAGGAGACAGACAGGGAGCTGCTGTTACTGCCAGCCAAGGGATAGGGGCTATGGCACGATAGAGAGTGGTACAGATACCTGCAGAGGCAGCAGCTGGACTCCATCTCCAAAGGTACGCCTACAAGTGTCATGAAGATCAGACCAAGACTACACTGCTAACAGTTTTCGCCTCCTAACCGCCACAAGCGAAGCACAGAAGAATTCCACGGCCAGTGAGAGACTAGCCGTGTTTCGTATTCAGCGTGGATTGGTCGGGCCAGTGCGCGACATGAAGAGCAATTTCAGAATCGTCCGAGAAGTGTACGTCGGACGATCGGTCGAGGCTTCGATATCGACCAGCACTCTCAAAAATGAACCAAGCTGCGGGCGTCCTGTCCATCCGCCAGCACCGCGGTTTTCAAACTAATCCAGCAGTCGTCGCGTCATTCGGGTGCCCCCGTACTGCGTATCTCGACATCGCGCGGTGTCGGCTCGCTCGTCTGTCCGGGGACATTCGATCAGGGTCTCCCCAGCGAATCGACCTATTGACAGGATGACGAGAAAAGTGGTTCAAACCCCGACTCGCCGTAGGCGTTACCCCAATCGGCCATCAGCCTGTCCGATCACAAGCCTTTCATGTCAAGCCTCATCCTTCAGAGGGGAGAGGGGATATGGCCCCCAAGACCCACGGGTTTACAGACCTCAGGAGCTGGTTCCGAAGGAGACAACACATCGTCACCGCGGGGGGGACTAATTCCACCGTCGTTGCGCCGAGAGAGGATGTCTTTGACCGACCCAAATTGAGAAGACCAAGTCAAGGGGGCCTTGCATCGTGTCGTGTTTGTTGCTTCCTTCACATGGCATGCCAGATGAGGTTTACCGGTTTCCAGGTCAGGTCAAGTCTCGTCACCGTCGTCTTCCTCTTCATATCAGGGGCCCAGCGTTCAGCCAGAGTCTGCAATCCTCCCGATCTGAACGCCCGCACATCAGGGGTAACGACTCCATCGCCATCCACAGCCCGCCCGCGAATCAGAAGGGGCAGAACACGACCTACTGCAAGCTATCCGGTGGCGCATTGCTTTCCAGAGCTTCCATGTGGGCGTTCCATAACCGCCTTATGAGCTGGCCCCTGCCTTGCGACCATCACTAGCCGTCGACCAGGACCGCTGCTTTATGATCCTTCAGAGTGACATTCGTCCAATACCCACCACGAGACGCCACAGGGAGGGCCTGCTGCTTCAGTCTTCAGGACTTACAGGGCTGTTACCAAGTGGAAGCAGCATAGGGCAGTGGATGGAGGTGCGGACGTATTGGAGGATGGTCCCGGCCGGCAGCGGCAGCGGCCCAAGCCACCCAGTTCACCGGTGGATCTGATTAATTCTGCTGCCTAGAGGCCCGTCTTGGATGGACTCTGGATGGTGTCAACCTCACCGCAGCGCGGAGTGCGCCATTCCAGAAACAACGAGCGAGTCCTACATCATCGTTAGTTTTCACGATCTTAAGTGGCTGCCCTGACAAGTTAATTTTAGGACCTGACGCATAGCATTCTACACCGATCCTTTCGCAGTGATCCGCGCTCAGTATTACTCTACCCAGTCGACATCGACAGCAAGGCACGCAATACGGGTTGAGAGACAACTCCGCAATGGCCGTTCCCTGGACTCAAGCAAGTGACAAACGGCAACTGCGTCAATGACGATGGTCCCCATGGTCGGTCAAGTCCAGAATAGGCTCCGGGAAAGGATATCGAAGAGACATCGCATCTCTACGACGAGCCTTCTTTCATCAGGATTTTATAGCATTGGGAGTCTTCTGCTGGCCGTATATGAGAACGAACCAGCACTATGCCGCAGAATCCTGAGAGGGGTCACAAGCGGCAGTGGACGATCTCACACATACCTCGTCGACTATTCCCACTTGCCAGAGTCCAGGAGGCGTTGAAAGAACATTGAGTTTTGGTTCGCATGACGGCCAGTAAGAGCCAAGAGAAGAAGACGCCGTTGAGTACTCTGCCCAATAGCAGCCAGTGCGAAGCGAAGGGCAGCATCAGAGCCTGTTGATTAATTGTCGTGCCTGCAGAGTGGGTCACTGACAACGGTACGAATACCACCTCGAGGTCATTCCCTAGAGCGGTAAGGAATGGGGACCACACGGATGCTACCTTGTCCTGGTCACCAAGGTACCGAGTGCTTGGACTCTCGCTGAAAGTCTTGATCCCCTCATCACGTGCGGCCGGCAGCTCGCTTGATTATGTAAAGAGTTCGTGGAGAGGAATCTTGGCCCCCAATCTGCAACGAACCGGTCGGGGGAGCCTCACGCGTTGGATGTCGGGAGGCTGTCGCCGTTTGACTTCACTTGAAGCCCCTACGCATCGCCATTGGCCACCCCACGCAGAAGGCTGTCTGTGTGCGCTCCTGAAACGACTTGCGGCATGGGCTTCATTCGAACGGCCGCGCGGTCACCCACGAGACTGCACATGTGAGCCGGGCCACCAAGTCTTCGAAACAGACTCGCCGTGACGTTAATCTTGACAAAATTGAGCCAGGCTTCTTGGCTTTCGGGGTATGGCAGGGCAGCAGGGTCGATCTTGACAACTCCGACCTGCTCACGGATCCTTGGCATCGTCGCAGTCTAGCCTGGCGTTCTCTGTCTGTCTACTCCTCCTGTGCTCGCTGCAGCACCGGGGGCTTCCTTGTGATGGTTAATGACGGCGGGCGGCCGACCGTTTGGCTGTGGGAATCCAGGCCCGGAGGAGAACACCGACGAGCCCGACGAGTACACGCCGTCGCAAACATTCACCGACGGGCGTAACGGGGCCGACTTGCCACGGACCTTGGGGATCTCTGATATCCACCAGGAGGGCCCTGGTGGAGCATGAGACCACTGTAACGAGCGCAATCTCCCTATGAGAACGCTTGGAGAGGGCTTCGTTCACGCATTGCCCATCCGCGGAGGGCATATTATTGCCTACTTTAGACAGTGCAGCCACCGGCTCCGTCGCGAGGGCCGCGTTTGATTATTATTTGCAGGGTCTCCATATTCTAGAGTACGCCGCATCGCACCCGTCCCGAAGCACATCGGGTCGTGCTCGGGGTATTCTCATGTTTGGGCCCAGAGAATCGGCCGGTTGGATACGTACGGGTTTACAAAGCATGGGCCACGGAGTTGCGCTCCGTCTCGACCTCCCCACCCCCTGACCCCCCTTATCTTATCCCTGCCTCTCTCACAGGACAGAGCTTCGAGCCTTCTCAGAGGCGACGGTCAACGATACATTGGGGCTTGCGTGGACAGCTGGACATGGCCAGCGTCGGCGACCAAACCAGGATATCGTCATCTCCATCGGGGTCTGAACCCAGCAACCCCAGGCTGCCGTCAGGGGGGGCCTGCCGGTTTCTCAAAGGAGCAAATGACTACACACGACCATCGAGCACAATTCCCGATACGTCGGATTCGTCGTCAACGTCGGGAAATGCCTTCAACGCAGCGCGCCTTCTGAGCAGGAGCCTAGGTTTCCATCTGTACTCACATCTCTCGCGTTCGTCTGACTGCTAAATCAGAGGAACTTTGGACTGAAAGTTAACTCTGTACGTTTACGAGCTTCGAACAGGCGGCTTACGGGAGTCCACCGCTAAGTTCCGATGTGGTTCGGCATTTTGCGGCACGTACGGTACATGGCCGGATGGATGTGAGTTGCGAGAGATTACCTCAGATTCCATCAGGTGTGGCCCTGCCTCTCCCACATCTTCACAGGGTGCGTCAGTCGCCCCCTCCTCTCCCGCAGACGGCCGCTCATCTCCATGCCTCGTCTCTCGCGCCTCGCTCTCCCAACTTGGAGAGCTCCCTGTAAGCCATGTGCCTCATAGGGCAGGGCTCGAGCTTCTTGAGGGGTCTGAGGGGGTGAGTGGAGGGCTGGGGTGTGGAGGCAGATGGACGAGCAGTTCTCCAAAGAGTACCGCAGAGTACATTGGTCGACCTCGAAGTGCAAAGAGAGTATTGGCCAAAGGGCTGGTCATTGCGATAGTTTCGGGTAGCGACTTGAACCGCCCGCTCCACCCTGGAATTTGGGGGCGGAGAGACTCCGACAAGAGCACAAACCAACGAGACGAACGATGAACCCAGATCCCAGCACTTCGGACGAGGACTCGGGACCGAAGGGTATATACTATGTATACGACTCGTTGTTATAGCACGGCGCAGTGCAAGGAAAGGCGAAATTGGAGAAATTGGAGGTGGCAGTGGGAACAAACAGCCAAGGGATGACAAGACGAGGCACGACAAGCAGCGGCTTCTGCGTTGTTTGACACGCTGCTGCTTCAGCTCAGCAGCGACGACCAACTGAGGTGGAGATGCTGCAAGAAAAGGTACTTTGGTGTTGGTGGAGACGCTGCACTGCGGACAAGTATCCACCGACCTGCACAATTCCCTGGCTTTCTTCACTTGTCATCCGCAGCCTTTTCTCTCCCCCCTTGTTGGAAGATGGACTGTCGGATGAGGGCTGACGGGGCACTCGTCTGCTCGCCATTTGGCTGCCAGTGGGCCGTTCATCGTAGTCCGGCCCGTCCACTCATGTCGAGTCTTTTTGCGTCCTCTCCCCGTCACTTGGACTGTCACCTCCAATGCCCTGGCTGCTCGCGACACCAACCGGGTGGCACCCACGCCGCTTTTCGACCTCGAGCTGCAATGCTGCGCTGCACTGCAATGCAGGTTGCCTTTCTCTCTCCCATCCCATGTTGATCGTACACCCACCGACGTGTGGGTGTGTACCTTGCCTTGGCTGCGTCTGCGTGTGTCTTGGGCTGGGAGGATGACACGCCCTTGACGCAGCGGTCACGGCAAACCACCATTAAGCTACACACGGCACACTTGGGCGCACTCTTGCCCGACACGCCCGACTTCCCGCGGAGCACCGCGGACGATGCGCGTGATTCCCTCGGCCGGCCTGGGCCCATTGGAGACGACAAGCGACCGACGACGGCATCATCGTCATCATCGCCCATCGACAACCACCAACGACAGACGCTGCAAGCCGCCGCCACCTCCTCCAGCGCCAGCGCCAGCGCCAGCGCCTTCGCCCGCCGTCTGCCCGCTTCATCCTTCTCGCCCTGGCGGCCCGTCCCAAGCCCCAATTTCCAAAAAAGCAACGCTCATCTCACTTCCACGAGGATAGAGATGAGTTGGCGCATCTGTGATTCGGCCTTATTTTGATGCCTAAACAGAGGCTTGTTGTTCTATCACACCGTCACTTGGGACCCTAAACCATACTCACATGGCGAGATGAACCCTCAACCGGCCTGGTGCTCTCATTCGGGGCGTTGTCACCTTGGACCGAACGTCCCTACAAATTAGGACCCGTCCTATTTCCATCGCGGCTGTGTCGGACGGGGAGGGGGTGGGAACGGCGGGGAAGCTACACCTGCATCTCCAATTCGCTACCTCGGGGTACCAGCGGCCAGGTACGTATCTCCCAGTTCTTCGTTTCTGGACGCTCGTCGCAATGCGAAAAACAGAGCACAGCGACTCTTTGGATGCTGAGCCGCAGGTTTTCTGCCATCACCTGTGCGTTTTCAGTGTGTAGGTTCTGCGGACGACGTCTGCAAAACCCAGCGCGCATGTACATGTCTGTTGCCTCAACTGAAGCTGGGTTGTCTGCGGCGGCGATCGCTACCCGTTGCCAGAGTCCTAGAGCCCCGAGCCCGGGTTCCAGGTTACAATCCAGGTCCAGAGACAGGCCCAGGTTCAGGTCCGTTGCAACGGGAGGCGGGTCTTCAATTGCCCGCTAGGACTAGTGTCGACAGAAGAGGCTTGGGTCGAGTCGATACCGCCCCTCTTCCGTGCCTTGCCAGATATGAAGATGCAAGTCGTCATGGCCTGCTTTGGGACGCTGCATGCCTTGGTCCCCTCTCGCTTCCTGCTCGAATGCTTCACCTCTGGCCCAGACTGCGGGTTGCAGAACGAAGACTGCGCGCTCAGAGAGCCATCGCTCGGCCATTTTGACGTTTGCATTGATGCTGCGACCTGGAAACGGGACGGATCATGATGGGATGGGAGGAACAGGCCCCGTCAAATCAGCACTCAATCTGCTTGTTAGGCCTCCGCCTTGTCTGCGTATGGCGCCGATCTTTGCACCCGCGGACCCATCAACTTGGTAAAGCATCTTTCGACCTCACGGCTGTTGAGTGTTCCACGGCAGGCAGCTGCATTGAACCCTGGGAACGGGGAAGACAAACAGCGTCTCCCGAGCATGGAGCCTCTCCGCCTGCCGGGCTTTCACGACTCGTGGATTCAGCCTCAAGATGCCGTTTATCAGTCATGGTCTAGAAAGATCCGCAGAAGACGATCAAAGCTCCGCGCCGTCTCTGTCCGGCACCGGCACGATGACCTCTCGTCTTCCCCCACTCAACCCAAAGCCTCTGCACAATTTCTTGGTACCGTCGTCGACTGCTCTGGGATGTCGGCAGGCGGTAAAGGAAGCTGCGCGCGTTGCGGTAATAGGCAGTTGCATTCACTTACACGTGGACGATAAATTGCTCCCGCCAGCCTCTTGGTATCAATAGCCCCACGATACCTGAGGTCCGTCGTGCTGGAGGACCGGGGCCCCTAGGAGTGCTGCTTCCTGGAGTTGGGTTGGGATTATTCCCTTCTGAACCCCGGCCCCAGACTCGACCGGATAAAGCAGGCCCTGCTCTCCTCCAAACTCGGCTCGACTGATCTTGACATCACCGGGAGACCCCCGGCCACAGGTCGCGCGCCCTTGGCAGGCGGCGCCTACGCAACAGCAGCGGGGGGGGTCCCTCCCCTTTCACCCACCAACCCATGGACGGAGAGCGACTCCGAAAGCCAGGTCCCCATCGCTTTTTTCCTTCTGTTTAGTGTGTTCTCCGCCACGCCCACACCTTGCTAGAACCCGTCGTATCTCCATATTGACGACTTGACAAAAGATCCAAAAACGACATCGGACGAAAGAAGCAAAGCACCTTGGGCTTCATTTCGCTGAATTCAATGTTCTTTTTCATTCGTTGTTTTTCTCGCGCGCCGTCCGAGGTTAGCTAGGTATCCATTCTGCACCATACCATGCACCGCGTACCCGTAAACCCGCGCGCCCCCCATCTCGTAATCCTTCCCAGCAATGCTTATTGTTCCCTTTGTAAGGTAAACGGGGTCTTGTTTCTTCTGCGAGGTCCTTTCTGCATGAAGCCGAGGCAGCTTTTCGTTTGTTGCATGCCTCACCCACGACGCACCTTGAGGAACGTAAAGAAGAGGAGAGGAGAATCAGAAAAATACGAAAATACAAGATACAGAAATTTACCACTGTTTTGGAAAGCGACAACTGTGACCTTTCCCACCACACCCCCCTCCCCTGCTCAAGGGTACCCTAGACCATGTTGGGACCAACTTTGGGGGCCTCTCTCCGAAACAGGTGACTCTCTCTCCCGCGCCGTTCATAGGCCCGTCAGAGGCTGCAGAGTCTTTTCGAGATTAAGAAAAAAAACCAGGGGTCTGGTTACCGTTGTTTCTGTTGTCTTTTTTTCCCCCGATGAGGTTAGCATCCATTGCGGGAGTCGTTCACAAGTCACATTGGAGCGGAGGGAGGGGGGGGGAGGGGGGAGGGAACTCCGATGACGTTCGGTTCTTAACAACATTTGCATTTGCATTTTTGATTCGTTTGTGTGTGTAATGTGTGTGTGTGCCATCGAGGCCCGACCAGCATACAAAAAAAGGTAGAAGAAAATTATGTACCAGACGTCTCTCTCTCACTCTCAATCAATCAACACCGTATGTCCAAAATAGGCAATATGTAAAAAACCAAACGACAAAAAAAGTTTGAAGGTTGGAAGAAGGTTGTGTGAACAAGAAGAAGAGAAGAAGAAGAACAGCGTTTTCCGTAATCTTTCGTTTCCTTGAGGGGAACGAGGTGTATTTCAAGAAACGCTAAAGAAAGGGTATATCTTAAAAGATGTGGAGAATAGAAAGTTAAAAAAAATTGGGTGGTGAAGAAGCGGCCGGGATCCCCGACGCCGCGGTTGTTGGTGGTGGTTGGTGTTTTGTGAACGAAAATAAGCCAAGAATGCCATCCCTTTCTCCATAAAACAAAAGTCCGAAAATCAAAGTAGCCAACGCAGAGCAGAGCAGAGCAAAAGATGACAGAAAAATAAACACCGTATCCTCCCAAGGCGGCGAGAACATGTAACCACGGAGGATAGACACGTTCTGACCGTTTCCCTTCCTCTAAGACAAAGCAAAGTCGATTTTTGATTCCCAAACCACAGCCTATCTCCTCCTCCTCTCCTCCTCTCCAAGCCAAAAGTCCTTTTGTTTTCTTCTTTCCCTAGGATGTACAGATAGAATGGAAGAAAACAGAAAACACCAAAAAGAGGGGGGCGGGCAGCGACGCGCAGTGCGGCGTTGGTCGTTCTCGTACGTTGTTGGTCGTCGCATGTCGGCATGGATGATGTGCGAGGAGCGGAAGAGCAAGGGGCCCAGCCAAAGTCCGACGGCCCCTCTCTCCCTGACTGTGCTGCCCCCCTTCTCCATCCAACACATCCCCCGCCAACAACCAACAGGGAAGAGTGAAAAAAAAAAGGTGTCATGCCGGTCTTTGCGTCGTTAAAATAATGATGAATGATGGTTGCTTCCAACACAAACAAAACAAGGCAGGCCGTGCCCCTAAGCCACGTCACCCCAGCAGGTCTATGTGTTGCGGCGCTGCTTGCACTTGTCGTGGAGGAGGTGGCCGTTCCGCGCCGTTGTTCTCGTGAACTCGGCTCCACAGTTGGGGCAGGTCGCCTTGGCTGCTTGGCCTGACTTCTCGCGTTGGTGTCTGAGGAGGTTGCTAAAGGTCGAGAACTGGCGGCCGTTGCAGCCGTGCTCCCAACATTGGGGCTTGGGCCGGCTCTGCACCACCCTCACGTGCCCTCCCTGGTCCGCTCCGGCTCCGGGCGCCATCGAGGGCGGCACGCCGTACATCATCGGGTCCTGGCTGACTGACAGTGGAGGGCGGCTGCTAAGAGGCGGTGTGTCAGCTTTCCTGCCCTGCTGCTGCTGCTGCTGCCAAAAGTAGTGGCCTCGGCCACCACTTCTCGGTTCGCTGCTCACGTACCCGTACTGTGCTGGTGGTTGGAACTGGTTGGAGTAGTCCATGCCGCCCATGCTGTAGGCCGGCGCCATCGGAGGGTACCCGCTCTGGTAGCCGTGGTCTGACAGCGGCGGGCTGTAGGAAGGGAGGTATGACGAGCTTCCCATGGTGGTCGTCGGCTCGGCGAGGAGCGAGATCGGGGCTGGCGCGGTGGTGTAGACGGGAACGCCCATCGTGCTGGAGACGTCGGGCATCGAGAGCGGTGGCGAGTGGATGTAGCTGTTGCTGCCGGCTCTCCTTACCCGTTGAGAGGTCTTTGAGTCCCGGCGCGCCTGGTCCCTCTGCTTCTTCAGTTCCCGCTGCTCCGGCGTCATGACCCCCCTTGGCGGGCTGGCCGTCACTGATCTCGATCCGCTGGGCGGTGTGAGGCTGGCGTCTGAGGAGCCGAGAGATGCGAGGTTGTGGCCGAGAAGCGTCCCGCTTGATTCGCCGCTGTGTTCGAGGCCTTTTGGTTATGCATGTTAGAGGCACGTCCAGGGATGAGCTGTTGTTGGGAGGGGAGAGGGGGGAGCTGATTTACCAGGCCAGGTGAATGTTGATCGGCTTCCCATGGTGAACGTGGGGTCGAATGGGATAGCAACAGTGCTGGGAAAGAGACAAAGTGTTAGAGAGACTGGTCAACGGTTTTCAACGTGGTTCAAGGTCCGGGAGCGCACCTCATGCTTGCTCCGTGTGGTAGTGGCGGCGATGAGGATGGGTGGTGGTGAGAGTAGGTGTCCTGGGCCGGGTCTACTCTGACTAGAGGCGTCGAGTTGGAAGCGTGCTGTTGGTGGTGTACCTCGTTGCTGTCGTTCCACTCTGCATTCAAGACCTCGGGAGGCAGGAGGGGGAAAGGCGAGTATCCTTGGGAGCTAGAGTTGGTTGAGAGGAAGGTGGCCGAGCTGGGCGGGTTGGGACTGATATAGCCGGAGGAATGAAGAGCCTCGGACCTGATGGAGGGGCTGGACTCTATCGGCAAGGTTCTGGGGGAATCGACGAGCTGTATGCTTGCGAACTGAGCAGTGGTGGCTGATACGCGGCTTCCTGCTCGGGATCTGGGTGGAAGTGAGTAAGAGTTCTCGCAACCCTGCTCGGAATAACTGGAAGCCATTGATAAAGAAGAAGGACGACTAGGAAGAAACTCTGGATGGCACATACGGACAAGGTGGTGAGGGTCCAAGGTCGATGATGTTGTCAGTGTCGATGGAGTGAGAGTGTGTGTATGTGTGTATGTCCAAGCGCCGTTTACGGGTGTATGTGTTGTTGGTATGTGATGTGGCCAAGTGACGATGTATCGGCGAGGCGGAGAGTGAGAAGGACTTATAACAGACCAATGTGAATCAGGCACCGAAGTTTTGAAGTCTGGAGAAGGAAGGATTGCTTGCTTGCTGGCCGGGTGGAGGCTTTCGGTTCAACTGAGATCACAGATGCTATACTTGGACATCATCAGAAGGTTAAAGATCTCAGCCTCACGGGTCCAGGAGCGGGCACTGGTCTTATAAATGGGAGTGGGCAGTGAACGACATGTAGTAAGTAGCGTGTGGAGTTATGGTATTAGATCCCGACCTTGTGTCGACGTACCGTCTGGCCATGCAGCAGCAGGGCCAGCAGCAGACGGAGGAGAGATGGGCATGTTCGAAGACAAGCTACACTGGATGGAGGTAGGCCCAGACGTGGTGGCAGGGGTTCGAGGATGAGAGAGAGATGGGATTATGGTGACCAGGATGGGGGAAGATGGGTACGGAGGTACAAGCACCAGCACCAGTGTGTGAGGAGGGGGGTGTGGTCCCAACGGTCGAAGAAGGGGAGGAGGGTAGGGGAGGGGAGGGGGGTGTTTTACGGGAAGAGGCGTATGTAGGACTCCCCTGGGGGTGTGTGTGTGGGGGGATGAAGAGACGGAGAGGAAGAGAGGCAGAGGTGAGCAAGGTGTGTTGCGTGTGTGTACTGTAAGTATGTGTGTATGTGCGGCGTAGAACGAGGAGGTGTGTGTCTTTGCGTTGAGTCGAGAGTGTGACATGCAATACCCAGGACAAGGACTCTGGGGACAGGGCAGGACAGGACCTGCTGGTGGAGTGAGGGTCAAGTGCAGTCAAAGGTGTCTCTCCCACTTCTTCCAGTGTCCAGGCCAGAGGCAAAGGCAAAGGAAGAGAGACCCAGAAAGACTACCAGAGTGATGGGCAGACGGGCACAGTCCAGTCTCCAAGTCCGCCTACCTGTCTTAACAATTGAAGAAAAGACATGGGGCTGTGGCGGGGACGGGGAAGGGATCGATAGGCTCCAGCATTTTCTGCAAAAGCATTGGCAGCCGCGGTATGAACGCCCCGGTCAGTACCCTCAACGTCCCTGCTTGGGATGGGCCGCAGGGCTATGGCTAGCGTCCTTCACCCTCGCAGCTTTCATATGCAGCAGAGGAACACACAGAAAGAGAGAGAGAGAGAGAGAGAGAGAGAGAGAGTTGCTGCACACCCGGCTGAGGCCAGACAGGCAAGGCAAGACGACAGGGCAGGGTATCCGTACCGGCAAGGAAAGGGTAACAAGAGGCAGGGAGCGGTATCCGTACCGTACCGTAGGTACCTGGCGGGGAGGGGAGGGGAGAGGAGAGATGACAATGACATCGCTCAAGCCCTGGCTGGCCTCAAGGAGACGGGCCACTGGGTCCTGAAGGGCACCTCGCGCTCGCCTTTACTCTTTCCCACACCAGGCATGTACACCAGGTACACCACTAAGCAGCCCGTAAACTACAGGGCGTGGGCGGGCCACTAGACTGGGGCGGGCTAACGTCGTAGTGTAGAACGGTACGGCAGCCCGTACCAGCTGGTCTGTGATCGGGACGAGTGGATAATTCAGTGACCTTATTCCCTATTGGGGCAGCTGTTTCGACGTCGACCGGGAACCAGGGCCGTGCTAAGGTACTGCCATAGTAGTCCTGCTCTGAGGACCTCGTCCAGGCAGAGACCAGGCAAGAAAGAAAAAGCAGATAACCTGTGGAAGACGAATCAATACGATCGGGAGGAACAGAAAGGAAGACGAGAGTGTGAGATTGCGAGATGCCCTCGAGGTGGGATCCTGGGACAGACAGACACTGGCTGACGGGCTGGGCTGAACCGGGTGCGTGTAAGAGGTTACCGAACAGCAGGCCTGGTTGCTTGATGCGCCAACGCCAGTGCCAATACCAACGAGCGCTTGCTTGTCTCTCGCCCTCCGCGCCCTCTCTCTCTCTCTCTCTCTCTGAGTGTGTGTGTGGCCTTCAGCTTGTCTTGTCCCAGGTACAGAGACTCGATGGACCCCAGAAGACGGACAGACTTGGGCCGGGAGCCAGTACGTCGGGACGGCGGTTTTGCGTAGCAAACCTAGCCCGGCACTGGCCAGCCAGGGCAAAGACATGATGCATGTTGGTCCGACGGGTTAATGTGTGTTATGATGCCTCTCTCATCAATTATTAATTATGTTTCCTTTTTCTCGCTCCCCGCCTGACCCCTTGGGCACAACCACGGCAGTGTCAGCTGGCGGATAGGACCGATGCAGAACACGCGACTGAAGAAAAAAGAATGTCTTCTCCTGGTAATCCTGTGCAATGTAAAAACGAACATCAAGACGGCCGCTCGGGACAAACCGTGGTCGACGGGGGTTCGGATTGGCGAGGCGAAGGAAGCAGCAGCAGCAATCACCAAAGGGTGATGTGCCTGGCAAGGGCACGGGGATAAGAAAGGTATGATTTGAGAGAGAGCAGCAGATGGGCTAGGTAGCGTCCGTCTCCATCAGGTTGCAGGACGGCGTCCATTAGAGAGATTACCCTCTCTTCTGCGATGTGGTGGTGATGGCGCGCACTCGCGCTCGTCGTCTCGCCTCGCGAATGCCAGACAGCGGACAATCGAGTGCGGGCAGGGCAGAGGAGAGGGACATGGAAGTCCTGGGAGAGAGACTGGAATAAAGGATCGGGATCCCTGCCGATGCTCGTGCACTGGTTGGTGTTGTGGTGGAGAGAGAACACTGCTGAGAGAAAGGAAGGGGACAAAAAAAAAAAAAAAGCAGCCGTTCGTCGATAATCCGAAGTGGGGACGGCGTGTGTGGTCGGGACAGCTGCCGGTACGTACCGCCAGCTGCAAAGCGCACTAGTCGAATCGGGCATGGCGGGGAGTGCCTGGCAAGGAACCAGGAAGACCAAGGTAGAGAGCACCACCACCACCACTTCATCTACGGACCGCAAGAAAGCAAGGTGAGCGCAATGGTATCCGCAAGGTGAAGAAACGATACCCCGACTACGGCATCCGTACCTTATCGTCCGTGCCTGACCGCTCCGCATCTCATCGGCCTTGCCCTCCGAACCTACCTACGACGCAGCGTGTTCTGTACGGATACAGACTCCTTCTTGGCTTCCAACCCGACCCGACCACGTTGGGTTGTCTGGCGGAGCATTGGTGAGTCAACCGCCGCAAGGAACTCCTTACCCACCGTGTCTGACTGCCCGTAAGATCAGTGACTCTTGTCTGAGGCGGATGCTGCTCACGAGGTGACAGAAGGCCCGTTCTGCTTATTGAAGAACCCCGCCTTGGTTCGGTTTCCAATTGTGTTCACCCACTCCGAGCCCGTACGCCGTATCCGGGGAAAGACATGATGGAATCATCAGCCCAGCCAGCTCACCCGCTCGCCTCCCAGTGTACCAGGATATTCCTCACATGTATCCGTACTTGCGAGCCGTATCCATTCCTTGATGGGGAGTGCGGTGTCGATGACGGTGCGGTACGGGACGCAGCCAGGACCAACCCGGCTTTCTGCCCACCCCGAGCACGCCAAAGTCCCTACGGACGTTAACTATGTCCATCTTGAATCCGACCGGCACCGGTGCCGCTGCGGCAAAGACAGCCAACCAACCCAACGCAGTTCAGCCCAACCTTGCCTCGATCGAGAAGGTTAGACGACGAGCGTGTGTAGCCGCAGCGAGTGCGCGGCATGCGCTAGGCGTTCTTGCACTGCAAAGCTGCAAGTGAGATGGGTGGTGGGTTGACCGGCGCTCGCCAGTTGGGCGTTTTTCTTGGGTGTTTATGGCTGCCTTCCACCACTGTCTGCACATGCTTCCTTTTTCTTTCAAAATTAGCAGGACACGGCGTGTTTCCACAGACGAACTGCTGCCCTTCAAGGCCTCCAGCCAACCGCCAGGCGACGAAATTGGCTGCTGCTGGACGAACGAGCGAGTGATGAACTGCAAGGAAGAGGCTTTCCCGCGCGGGAAGATCACATAGCGTCCGTCATCAGCAACAACCTTTCCAGACGCCACACCGTAGCCGTCCTCCTCCTGTTCCCCTACACCTAATTCCTTATCGATTGTCGATTAGGTTGTGAGGCCCATGTCCGTGGTCGACCGGAGAGGCCATGAGACATGACAAGACGACCCAGTCCAGTGGTGTGTCCTCTGCCCTGCGAATGCGTGCCTTACCTTGCCTCGCCTCGCCTTGCCTTGGGTCCAGCCAGGTTCGGCCGGGGCAAGCAAGCAAACATCACTGAGGCCGGTTTTTGCTTTTCTAGGTCTTACTGAGACGCACCTGATTGAGTTGTCGATCTGAGCTGAATGGTG